TGTCTGGGTTACAAGAAATTCAGCCTAGGATAATCCAAGTGGACACTTACGATTCTAGGCACAAAAATCGGAAGCCAAAATGCTAGAGGATTCTGTGAAAGTATGATGAAAAACGAGAGCTTAAGATCGTAACCCTCTTATGAAAAGAAGAGTCGTTTATATAATAAACGATATTAGGGTTTCATTAGGTTGGGTCGTCATTAGTTGCTTTGGAAGCAAGTAATATTAATCCGGATTTAATGAGGATTTAGGGTTACCAAAACTAACGAGATTCATTAGTTTTACCATTAACACCCTCAAGAAATTGAATTTACCATAAACACCCCAGCCAGGGGCTCTGCCCCTTGGACCCCGTTAGGGGCGCTGCCCCTAGACTCCACAAAAGGGGCGCTGCCCCTTTGGAAACCCCGGATCCAGGGGCGCTGCCCCCGGACCCCCGACTAGTCGTCGAACCGGCTTCCAATTCGATCTTATACATGCGTGCACTCCGCACAACCCTTGTGCATATAATAGAGTACAAATTATGAAGCCCTTAGCTCACATGTTAGTTTCAGTTACTTAAAATGACATGGTGTGACAACCCGAAACTTTGTCCGTTTCCGTTTCGTGATTTCCGTTAATAAAATTTCAAATTCGTTAACTTTTCCGTCAAACTTTTTGGTTTAGAAAATAATCTAGTTATATTCAATTAAATTAAATTATTTACGAGTTGGAACCAAAAATCGCACGGAAACCCGATTATCTCGAAAAATCAAACATTTCTGGTCTAAGTGAGATTACGACCGTAAACCTATTTACGGTCAGTGAAGAGTGGACCCCCCACAACACCCCTATAAATACGATGCCTCCACCTTCATTTGAACATTTCTGGCCAAAAACTCTCTCCTTCTCTCTCTAAGAACCTTAACCGTAAACACTCAAAACGCCTTCAAATTTCGGAAATCATCGAGAAAACCATGTTTGGGTCGCTTTGGAACGTCTCAGGGCACTCATCTCTTCGAAATCAGCATCCAGCTCTGGTGTTCTTGAGTTTAAGGTCAGCCTTCAGAAACCGTAAACTCTGTTCTTGAGTTTACGGTCCGAGCCTTCAAGAACCGTAAACTCTGTTCTTGAGTTTACGGTCCGGGCCTTCAAGAACCGTAAACTCTATTCTTGAGTTTACGACCGTAAACTCACCGAGCCTTCAGGAACCGTAAACTCCTCTTCGACCGTAAACACCTTTTAAGTGGTGCTTTTGACTGAAAACTCACTTTCATCGATTCGACCAAGTCCCGGTAACATTTCTCAACCAAATTCAAGTGTACCTCTAACACGTTATCTAACGAAATCGCTAATTTAGATACATATATGTATTTATTTGATAATAGGATTCCGTTAAGTGTCACGTACAACAACTCGAGGATCTTCATTTCAGTCAACGATTTCACAACAAGAACTGTGAGTTCATACCCCTACATTTTCCGTATTTTTAATGTTTTCAGGGGGGAATACAAGCTAAACATAAATGTTTTCAAAACTCATGCAATTCTCATACTTTAACCCTTTTGTACTGTGTTGAGCATAAGGGACGTTTTCACTAAAATTGCATAGTTTTCCAGATTCGCTATTCACTATACATGCAAACTATAATCGGTATAGTTTGGGATTTTCTAAACATAACGAGTACTGAAACTTTCACTACTAAACATATGCACTAAGACAGAAATAGTTTACAGTTACATCACCACTTGATCATGGCTTTTCATAACTGTAATTATCATTATATACGGTATACATACGGATTTTCACTACGATGGAACGCTACTACACTACATGTAAACTAGATTGTACGATACTGTGAGGCGCTACTTCACTACTGTACCCTTAGGTGTACAGGGATAAATCCTACCACTGTATAACCAGAGTCTCCTGGAGGGAGAGCGTGAGATTTGTGAATAGATCTATTCGGGACTGACAATCCCACATCTTGACTGCTAGCTACAGTTAGGCGGGCATGCCTGAGATGTACAAATGTCATTTAACTCGACGCCTGAAGAACGTTGGAAAGGTCTCTAGTCATATCAAGCATGGTTATACGACTCACATTATGTATAAATCACCTTTAGTTTACAAACCTGACACTCTTCAACGGTTTTATTTATACTAAATAGAACTAAAACACACTACGTATACTGGCCATGCCAGGGTTTTCAAGCAGAGCCACTTGCTATGGCTATGCATTCAAAATATTTATACTTCATGATTAGCTTTAGCTAGTCACATGAGGTGGTATATTCGCTTATCAATACAGTTTTCAGTAACGAACATTCATGGTTTTATACGTAAACGATAACGCTACATTTTCACTAAAGAAAATATCGGATTTTCTTGGAAGCATGCTGATATTCATGGTTTATTACAGAACTGGTAATACTACATTTTCACTAAAGAAAATATCGGATTTTCTTGAAACTTTACAACTTTTTGACTAGCTCATCAACAAGTTTGCATTACAAATTACCGCTTATGAAGTCACCAGCTTTATGCTGATATTTTCAAACTGCTTGTATTCTCAAGAAATCAGTAGACAGGTACTTGCTGGATTTTGAGGAACTGAAGCATTAAGAGTTTTTAAGTTTTTACTATAAAAAACTATTGGATGTAATTTAAACTAAGTTTCAAACTGATGTAAACATCTTTATTTAAGTATTCACTGTAATGGTTGTGTTGCTATGATTGCTGTTATTCATTGGTTGTGATGCTATACATGACGTCCTCCGCCCCGGAACGCTTCTGCCATCGGTTTCGGGGTGTGACACATGGTGACACTAAAATCACCAACACAAGGGCGGTCGTCAATCGTGATCGCCAAGCCGCACACGACTTATTGGTACATGATTACTTTGCCGATAATTGTCTTTATAATGACGATTCTTTCGAACGTCGTTTCCGTCTGAATAAGGCTATATTTTTACGTATTAGTAATACTTTAAAATCTCGTTATGATTTTTTCAAACAAAAACCCGACGCTAGAGGAAGAATGAGTTTTAGTAGTATACAAAAATATGCGGCTGCTCTTAGGTATTTGGGATATGGTATATCATTTGATGCATCTGACGAATACTTGAAAGTATCTGAGAGGACCGTAGTTGAATGTGTAGATTGGTTTTCTGCATGTGTGTATGAGGTTTTCACGAACAATATTTGCGCAAACCTACTCAACGTGATATTGAGAGATTATATTCGGCTCATGAAGAGAGGCATGGATTTCCGGGTATGCTTGGCAGTCTAGATTATACGCATGTGGCTTGGGAAAAATGTCCAAATGCATGGCGTGGTCAGTTCACTCGAGGAGATATAGGTGAACCAACTATCATCCTAGAAGTTGTTGCATCTCAAGATTTGTGGATATGTCATGCCTTTTTTGGAGTAGCGGGGTCTAACAACGACATTAATGTTCTTGGACAGTCTCCTCTTTTCAACGATATTTGGACCTACAAAACACCTGATATGACGTTCACGGTGAACGACACGCGTACAAATACGGTTACTACCTTGGTGATGGGATATACCCGGATTATTCTACATTGATGAAGGCATACTCGGTTCCTCGAAGTGAAAAGACAAAGTTGTTTACAAAAAAACAGGAATCGGCGGGAAAGGATATCGAGAGGGCATTTGGAGTCGTTAAGCAGACATGACATGTAGTGAAATATGCTACACGACTCTGGGATAAAGAAAGAATTAAACGAATGGTCCTAGCATGTATTATAATGCATAATATGATTATTGATGATGAAGGTCGAACGATTTGCACGTATGATCTGAACGACGTTGTCATTCCAATTGAGGAGTTCGTACCCGGAACGAATGAGTTTTTAGAGCAAGTTGTTAAAATTCATAACAGTGAAACGTGTTTCAATCTTCGAGAAGATGTTGCGGAATATTTGTACCAACGTAACATGAACGAAGATTAGTTTTTTTATATGTATGTTTGTTTGTTTTTTAATTAATGTAATATTTTTTCCTAGATTAATTACGTAATGTAGTTTGAAGTTGTAATTTTATTTTTATAATTAATGAAAAACTAGTTTAAAAAAATGAATGTTTTTTAATTATAAAAAAAATGTAATTTTATTGTATTTTTGACTTAAAATAAAAATAAAAATAATGATGTGGAGTGGTGTGTTAGTGGTAGGTATCCCATGTTAGTGGTAGGGAAATGTGGTGCTGATGTGACACCCACCACATATATGGTATGTGGTGGGTATATAGGATGACCTAATATGTTATATATTAGTATATTTTCTTCATTTGCAAAATGTTTAGTAAGTTTTTATTCGTTTAGTTTAATATTTATTTTACATATGAAATTATATTCTGTTTAACCGGTAAACCGAACTGAATAAACCGTAACCGAATAAACCAAAATCGCTTAAACCGAACATTATTTGGTTTGGTTATGGTTAGATTTAAGATATAAAAAACCGAAAAAATCGAACCGATTTAACTAAAAACAAAAAAAAAACAACCGAATAACACACCTAAATACAAGAATAAAAAAACATATACAGTACACTTAGAATATCACAATATGATCATTGTCCATCACAATGTATTTGGGATAATCATCTACTAAATAATGATTGTAACATGTGGGATGGTATTGTTCTTCTATCTGAGCCTATATATTCTAAGTATTTATATGAACAATTTAATGCAAGAATGAAAATTTGCTATTTTTACTAAGCAAATTAAAATTTTATGGATATAAAAGATCCTCAATTTATAAGTTATCACCGATTAGATCTATGTAAATCAATATCACTATGATATAAGCTCCTAGCAAACGTAGTGCACTTGGTTGCCGAATAATTTAGTTACACAAATAGTTAAAAGTTCAAATCTTAACAACCACAATATAAAAGTTTTATTTCCAATTCATACTATATTTTTTGCCATTTAGACAACAATGAATCTAACACGATACTTCTTAAATGAGATAATATACTAATAATCACATGAAGAATGCTTCTTTAGCAGAAAAAAAAAAGTAAGTAAGAACAATGATACGTATATTTGAACACGTTATAATCATTTTTTTACAAGAAAATTACATAATCCATAATAAAAACATAACATCCAAAAACCAGACATGACTCATAAATCAGGTTTCATAATATATAGAAAGTGGCAAGTCTTCTCCAATCACATTCACCTTAAAAAGAAATGTAAACCCATCCAAAGTCACTTCCACAGTTCGGAGTGACCATGACCAAATATTTTTGGTAATATTAGAAATGTGCAGGGGTATTTTCGTCAGATAAAAAGTTCTCTCTCATCGCTTACAGCATATTTATGTACTAAATTCGTCATCATCATCTAGAAATACTCCACCATTCAACATTCAACAAGAGTCGGACTCTCTCGTTTCCTCTCTCTCTCTCTCTCTGAAAAATAATCAAATCTTTGAACAATCCGAACATCTAAAGGTATGTTTTGTTGAAAAAACTTTGTACTATCAATTCAATGTTCCAATCATTTTCCCCGATTTTGTTCTTCATATTCATATATGATTTCTTTAGTCTTTGATGGATTTCTGATTGATTTAACAAGCTTCGGGGTATAATTTGTTTGACTAGTTTGATGATTCATGAATTTGGGTAGATGGGGTTGTGTTAAATCATGTTAATTCAGAATTATATGCCTTAATTTCAAATCTTGTATTGATAATTTCTTCTGTTATCATAATTAGGCTTCTTAATTCTTATATATTGGCACAAAATGATTTGTTTTGAAGAACATGAATTACTTCTTCTCTTTCATCTAATTTGATCATTAGGTTTTGTTTTCCTTCTTTGATTTAATAAAGTTAATTTGTCTTTACGTTTCTGTAAAAACGCGTTTTCCTGTGCGATTTTATCATTAGAAAACAATGTAATTTTTTTCTAGTTGTAATTATCCCCATTAAAATTAGGGTTCTTTAGGATCATGGTACTATAATTCATTTCAACAATTTTCATCCATATCAAAATTACCACAAGGGTTTTAATTTAGATAATATTTAGTCCTTTTTTATAGCAGTATTTCACTATTTCTGATACCATGATGCTTCTCGATGCCTGTATCATTACTCTTCCATAGATTCGAGATTTATTAATTATCTTTCGTCATCTGCAAGCTTCTCATTTCTCGAAACTTTTTAAATTCAGGAAAAACAGCTATCATTGAAGCCAATTTTATCGAATCAGATACCATGCACGCGATCTAATCGATACCAAAAGTTCAAATTTTGCCACTTTATTCGCCGATTTTCTTACATTAAATGCAAACATCCCAGAAACCTCGAAGCTCAGGAGCTGCCATTCACCAGTTATATCACCAATCAGACCAGATCGAACCCTTCCGTTTAACCGGTTCCCATTTCCAAATCTTGGACAACAATGGCTACCCCGGTGACACCGTCACCAGCCGCCACCAAGAAACCTCCATTGTTTCCGGCAACGCCTTCAACGACCAATTCTTCACCTTGGAATCATCTCCAGCCCTAGAAATCTACAATTCTCCATTCACCAGCGTCTCTTCAAACACCCGGAGCCCATTTTCCCCACAAGGCTCTTCCCAATCATGCGTTTCAAATCTCCACAACTCATCACCGGAAAACACATACGGGTCACCCATCAGCAATGAGCGATTTATAAGAGATGTGGCAATGGAACTACTTGGAGAATCCGATTTCGAAGATGGGTCAATCACAAGCTCATTTCAAAACGTCAATAAGAACAATAAATTGCTCCAAATGGAAATTTCAAATCTTGATTTGAAACAAACCCTCATCTTATGTGCTCAATCGATGGATGATGGTGGTGCTAAAGAAATCACCGAAACTCTCATGGAACATATTCAAACCAAAGTTTCAGTAACGGGTGACCCGATTCAACGATTAGGCGCCTACATGCTCGAAGGCCTTCGAGCCCGAAAACTCTCCTCGGGATCCGCAATTTACAAAAAACTAAAATGCTACGAACCAAGCCCAAAAGATCTCATGTCCTACATGTCAACCCTCTACGAAATCTGCCCGTATTACAAATTCGCGTACACGTCAGCAAACGTTGTCATCAAAGAAGCATTCCAATACGAAAACCACGTCCACGTCATCGACTTCTTAATCGCACAAGGCAGTCAATGGGTCCAACTCATTGAAGACCTGGCTCGGCGGCCTGGCGGGCCGCCGAGCCTACGAGTTACCGGCGTTGACGACGGTGACTCATCTTATGCGCGAGCCGGTGGGCTCGACAAGGTCGGCCAACGGCTCGCGCAGGTCGCAGAGGCGAACGGTGTTCCGTTCGAGTTCCATGCGGCCGCAATATCAGGAAGTGAGGTTAATTGGGGGAACCTTAGGGTTTACCAGGGTGAAGCCCTAGCGGTTAACTTTCCTTACATGTTGCACCATATGCCGGATGAGTCGGTTAGCACGGTTAACCACCGTGACCGGTTGATACGGTTGGTTAAAAGTTTGTCTCCAAAAGTTGTTACGCTTCTTGAACAAGAATCGAACACGAATACTTCCTCGTTTTCAAAACGGTTTGAAGAGGCTCTTGATTATTACACGGCTATGTTTGAGTCGATTGATGCGAAGCTTCCGAAGAACATTGAGTTACCACGGGGCGATAGGCGGAGGATTAGTGCGGAGGCGAATTGTGTGGCTCGTGATATGGTGAATATAGTGGCATGTGAGGATACGGACCGGGTTGAACGACACGAGCCGTTGGCTAAGTGGCGGTTTCGGTTTCAGGCGGCCGGGTTCACGGCTAGCCCGATTAGCCATGCGGTGGCTCAAGCGGTTCAAGGGGTTTTGAGTGAGTATAGTGAGGGGTATAGGCTTGGTGAGAGAGATGGTGCGCTTGTTCTTGGGTGGAAGAATCGACCGATGGTAACTTGTTCGGCTTGGAGGTGATTAGTAATGATTAGGGTTAATTTTGTGTAGGATTGAAGATGTATAATAATAATAATAACATGTATTATTACACACTGGTTTTGTATTAAAAGATATTTGAGAGTTTATTTGTGCATGTAATGTCTTATGTTTTTGTTTGTTGGTGATACTTTAACATATTGTTGTGTATTATATCTACGAGTTAGTAGTTATGATCTTGCAACATCTAATGCCTTTGAAGCTTTCCTAGTGTATTTTTAACGATTTATTCTGATATTAAAAACACTTGGTTGTTAATACTATAATAATTCTAATCTAGAGAAAAGAGACAAATTGGTAAGTTCTTTGAAGATGTTAAAGAACTTTTTGAAGCTGCCATATTTACGACGGCTCTGTATATGGTCGCAAAAAGTGGAAGCAGTGTTCCTAAAAGTCAGCGACAACAATCTTCTGTTTTTGTGTCGGTTTCATACTTTAAAAACAAAACTTTATCGAGTATAAATTTATCATTAAATAATAGTTAAAATTCAAACAAAAACCATATAAATGGTCCAAAACAACAGTAAGACCCGAATCTGGCCCAAAACATCAGCAATAATGGTCCAAAAACAGCAGCGAAATTCCACCAAAACAGCAACAAAATTTCAGCGAAAATCAACATTCAGGCTTTGATTACAAAGTACAAACCCGCAGAATGTTAATTTGATAAGTTTTTTGTTCAATGGAATTAATAGACAATTAAATCAAACTTGTAAATTACCAAATAAATGACAAATGAGTAAATGTATCGAGAAATCAAATTCTCGAGCTGTTACATTTTTTTGCAAGATCCACAATGTCATATATATGTCTATAACATGAACAAATATAAATCTAAGTATAAATAAATAATAGAGTAAATTATAAATTTGGTTTTTTAAGGTTTACTCAAATTTGGTCCAACTTTCTAAACATTCCCCAAGTTCTCCTTAGGTTTGTTTTTTGTTGCATATTTTGTCATTATTATATATATATTAAACTTATCCTAAAAGATGAATAGTGAACTGGTGAACAGTTTCACAAAAATGGCCCCTTAAGTATATTTTTTCTAAGGGGGGCATATTTTGACATTAGGTATATTCTTTGTGTATACGTGTTAGCAATCTACCGTCTCTTTATCTTCCCCCACTGTATTGCGTCTGCACGATCAGATCGATATGTTCTGGATTCTTCTCATATTTCTGCTTCATACTTTTCTCGCCATCAACCACACATAATCGAAACTCCACTAACCTTTGGTGGGATGAGCAACCTCCGACTTCTTGAGCATGTCGATGTTCCTGAAAAGCATCGATCGGCGCCGCTACCACCATCTGTCGTTCCGAGAGTTTGTAAGAAGCGATTGAGCACCGCCATCGCCACGTCTGCGTGGGTTCGTGTCAGATTAGGGCTCGATTCTGCCACCTCCAACTTCTTCAGCATGTCGATGTTCCTGAAAAGCATCGATCGGCGCCGCTACCACCATCTGTCATTCCGAGAGTTTGTAAGAAGCGATTGAGCACCGCCATCGCTACGTCTGCTTCAGTTCGTGTCAGATTAGGGCTCGATTCTGGTTTTAAGAAACATCTCAGGTGCCGCTACCCCTCTTTTCCTCTTTCAATCACTATTCGTTTTCCGTGCTTCATATACTTCTGCCTTCTCGACCTCCCAATTAGTTGTTCACAGATTTCATTGCACCCACCAATCCTCACCGTCGAAGCCCTCTAACTAACCTGCTCCGTCGGCTTCTTCTATGACCCAGTTCGAAACAGAGGAGATATCGAAGATAGGTTCCAATCAACCGCCGACAACTGCTGTACTTCACCCGTATGTTCTTCTCGGAAAGCACAAATTCACCCGTGAACTGAAGGTAACACATACAGTTCAAATTATACAATGATGTTATTAGATAACTCCGATTTCCTTGAAATTAGGGTTTAAATTCGACGAATTTGACCTTGTGTTCCCGTTATTTCTGTTGCATGTGGTGATTTTTTTACAACCGTCAGTACAGGTGGTGGCCAGTTGTGGAGTTGGGTGACATGAAATGCATCATGACCAAATCCGACCTGGTCACTGAGTTCTCCACCATCTTCGTGGAAGTTCTGCTTTGTGGTAGGTAATTTTGTGCTTTCTTTCTTCACTTTTCTTTTGTTAAAATTCATCATTGTTATTCTATTTGCTCCAAATTCCATCAGTAAGATTTCACATAATATATATGAAATTGTTTGCTTTTGTCAATCGTCGATACTTTTAATGGTTGTTCCCATAATATATATGAAATTGTTTGCTTTTGGATTACCAGGGGTAGACATGACAGGTGGCATGCCAGATATAAGCCTCATGTTGCAGAATTCTGTTGTTTCTCAGATGATGCAAAGCTTGCTTTCAAATCCCCAGTATATGGAGCAGGTACGTCAAACATGATATACACTATAGTTGAGGTATCAAAGTTTTTTATAATTTTTTTAATGGTATTGGTAATGTGAATTTGTAGATTGTGAGTCAAAACCCTCAACTTCGCAGTATGTTCGATTCTAACCCTCAATTGAGGGAGATGATGCAGAATCCAAAGGTGCTTCGTCAGTTAACTTCACCTCAAATGATGCAGGTATACATTTGTGGAGTAGTTTTGTTTTGTTGAGTCTATGAGTGATGGAATTTTGAGTTTGATGATAACTTGATTTATTTTATACAGCAAATGATGTCTTTACAGCAGCTACTACCTCATTTTACACTTTATATTTTATGTTAAATCAGATTAGATTACCTTAAACGTCTTATGAAAAGCTCTCATATATCAACATTCTATCGAAATCTCTTTTTTGGTTGGATATAGAACTGAATGTGACATACAATTTGTTTTTTATAAAAAAAATCAGCAGTTTTATATATTTACTATATTTTGTTTTTTATAAAAAAAATAGGAATTGAAAAAACCCTTTTCACCCTCTCTAGGAATGGTGATACAGGATAATATCTGGTCTCTCACATTGATAAATTTTTAATCATTCCAATTTTTAGTTTGATTTTTTTTAAATTTTATTATGTTTTTATTGCACCGCTTATGCTCATAAACTTTCACAATTTGCATTTCAGTTATATCATTTTATTGTTAAGTGGTTCCTCTAACTCCATTGTATTAACTTCCAACTTTGAAATTTATCAAGCTTTGTATGTGTATGGAATTAGTATGATGTTATAGGGTTAGAAATTAACTTAAGTACCATATGTTATCCTTATGTTTACTTCAGAAGAGGTTTCTTCCGATTTCGTTCGATTTGTAATTTTAATTATTTGGTTTGAAATTGGGTTAACAGATTACATAAATTCTTTAGGGCTATGTTTAATTAGCTCTCTCTATTGCGGTTGGACTAGCCTCTTTAGGGGCAATTTGGTCAATGTCATTCGTGTTGCTCCCAGCAAATCCATTGAGGTATAATTTTTTCTTTTTCTGTCTAATCTTCATATGGTTTAGTTGATGTTTGAATTGAAAGTGATGATTATATGCTATGGAATAATCAGAACAAAAACAAATGAGATGGACAAGGGTAGAAATGTGATTTTACTCTACCATATGATAAGTGGGTTTGTTGCAGTTCCAGTTCGTATTGAACTAACTGAAAGTGATTATATGCTATCTATGGAACTTCATCTGGCTTGGTGTTGTTTTTAGAGTATTTTTTATTTGCATATTACAACTGATATGTGATTTTTGTTCCAGGATGAAGTTGGAACAGCAACCCTGAAGACAGTTGAACTTGATGCATTTTTAATTTGATTATGAAGCTTCAATTCTTATTCCATTCTATTGATTGTTACTTTTTTTTTTTTTCCGATTTCCTCAGGTTTCAAAGTTAATATTATGATGATGGAAGTGGATACTGGAAATTCTCGGCTTTTAGAAGTTTCTACGCCTGCAAAAGAAGCAAGGAAGCATCCGGAAACAAAGGAAGTAAGTTAATACTGAAAGTCCATTGCTCTTTTCTCAAATATATTTTATAAATCAGTTATTTGATTTAGTAGCTATGATTTCTTGGAATGAGAGCAGAAGACAATGGATTGGGGATCTATTTCAATTCTCAAAGATCACAAAGAGAGAAAACGCCATAAGATCATGTCACAAGGCTTAGTTTGCATTCTAATTTCGTTTTTTGCCCAAATTTTGGTACGATGTCGACTAATTTTAATCTCAAAAATCAAAATTGATAATGTAGCTCAAGAATTCAAATGCATTTTTTGTTCCCTTACTCCACTCTTGGGGTAGCTGCTCAACGACTTATGAAGACTTGCTTTCAAATAACGACCATTTTCGTGAGCCAATACCGTTACCAGTAACAGTTGTTTTCTTACAACTCTTTCATGGAATCAAACATCACGAACATTGCAATATTTTTATTTTTTCACCCAAAATCAAATATTTTTTGTTAGATGTGTTCACTCAATATTGTAATCTTGTCTATATTTACAGAAAACAAGCATTTTAATCCCAAACTATTTCAGTGTAGTGAAATCTTCACTCTTGAGTATTTTGACTTATTGTAACACATTCAAAAGTCAACTTTGTACTGACCGAACAAAAGTTTTGTTTTTTTATTTTTTTATTTTTTTTTGCACATGATATTAGACTTCTTAGTTGATATATGGCTTCATGATGGTTTATATGATTAGATGATCAATTGGAATTTATCATAATGTTCAAAGAAACTATTATGAGCATTGTTCTTTTATCCTTTGATGGTTTTTTAGTATCAATTGTAAGTTAATAGCATAAAAATTGGCTTTCCAAAACTTAGGAAGAACCAAGAAGTTATAAGGTTTTGTTGTGCTCTATACTAAAAAAGTTCTATGATGCTGGCTCCTATAAAAATTGAGAATAAACATATACAATACGTTGACAGTTTTGAGAAAAAGCTAAGGTTTTGTTTTCCCCAATGTTTTTACAAATCTGATAAGTTTCTTGTGCTTTTTACTATCTTGAGGTAAAACCCACTTTGATTTACTCATGTTTTCCTCAACTTTAATCTCCGCTAACATCCTTCAGCTACCATCCTTTGGAATTTTAAGATGATTGATGTTAATCGTGTAACTTTTACAAACCCTAAGCAGTCATTTTAAAATCGTGGAAATCTTTACAAACCTTGAGCGGAGTCATTTTAAGATGATTGATGTTAATCCAGTAAATTTACCTTACATATATACATGTTACAAAAATAAAATATCCATTAAAATACAAACATTATTTCCTAATACATACTGAAAAAGAAAAAAAATAAAACCCTAATAAAAACCAAACCCTGCGGAGCGGGGTACCCAGCTAGTTGTGATTAACACCATAAAAAATAACAATAGGTTACTTTTTTACCATGTTTTGTTTTTATTTTTAGTCTTGTTTGTTGTTATTATTATTATTATATATATATATTAAATCCAAAGGAGCTTAGGAATAGTATCTTTTTAGGCTTTAGGTTTTTGCCACAAAAGTTTATTGAATTTGACACTTTTAGTCCCTAAAGTCAAAATTTTTACATTTTTGTCTTTTAATTAAGTTTTTGTGCCTTAAGGTTTTTGCCACAAATCTTTAATGACTTTGACACTTTTATTCCTTCCAGTCAAAGGTTTTACATTTTGGTGTTTTTGCCACAAATCTTTAATGAATTTGACATTTTTCGTCCTTGTAGTCAAAACTTTTACATTTTGACATAAAAAACACATAAAACTTTCTTTAAAATTTTGCCACCATATTTTCCCAACTTTGACAACTTTAACATTATTGTCACAACATTTTTGGATTTTATCCACCAATGTCCCTACTTTTCGTTGTACACTTTTGACATCTAATTTTAGGGGTTGTCGACTTTCTCCCCTATTTATGGTGATTTACAATTTCAGCACATATTTTTTAAAGTTGGCCGATTTTTTCCATATTACCCCAAAAACGGCGTAGCCGCAGGTTCTTTACTAGTTATTATTATTATTATTATTATCATCATCATCATCATCATCTGAGTTCCCGGCCACCAACACTTTGGTCATGTAAATATGGAAATCTCTTTGAAGAGACGATCCATCTTAGTGTTTTTACGGTTTCATTTATTTGTGTTACTGAGATATCTGATTTGAACATAGAAAAAAATCAAACTCTTTTATCTTTATCTTTACTTAAAAAACACTTCATTTATTTATGTGTTCGGTAATATGTTGCCGTTAACGGCTAGGAGATCCTAATACACACACATCTTACAAGGCTAAAACATTGGTTCAAGGTAAAAAGAAGAAAATTGTAAAGAAATAATTTATTGTTATGAATTATTATTTAGAGAATGACTATTGGATTCTCCATATTCCCCCATTACTCTCCATAATTAGTGAACATTATAACAAACATTATTATGAGTTTTATGAGTGTAGTTATGCACCACTATAATGAGCATTCATATCATACATCACCTTTCATCTTCTTTGTCTAGTATAAATAGTGAATATTATGTATTGTAAAGTTTGATGATTTCATCACAAGTATTGGAATAAAAGTTCTCTCTACTCTCATGTCTTTCTTTACTTTATAATTTATCTTGTTATTTGATCATATTTTATAACACGTTATCAGCACGACTCTACCATAGAGCTCTAACTCTTTATCGCTCTTATTATTTTCATTTTCAGGTATGTATTTTTTATAAGTTTACATGTACAATGCTTACAAATTATTTTATGAAATTTATTAACTAACAATTCCTGAACATACAAGTCTTTATTTTGATTAGTATTTTCACTATGAAAAACTATGTTATGCTAGAGAAAATTTTCTCTACTTTCCATGCCACCAACATGCTCCTGCAGCAGCAATATCGTGAGGAAGATTTAAAAAGAATATATTATGAATTAATCTCATTTCTTCTTGTGGCTGAATAAAACTATGAACTATGGATGAAAAATCACCAATCAATCCCGACCGGTTCTAGTGCATTCCCTGAAGTGAATGCAATATCATATAATCATAATAGTCATGGGTATAATCGAGGTCGTGGAGGTTATTATCATAAAAAATAACAAGATTACAAGCAACCACCAGAAGTTGGAAAATAGCAAAAATCCACATCCTAATGATAAAACTGGTCAAGGAAAAAAGAAAGTTGAAAATGTTTGTCACCGATGTGGAATGACCGTTCATTGGTCTTGTACATGCCGCTTACCAAAGCATTTTGTTGATCTTTATCAAACTTATCTAAAATCTTAAGAAAAATATCGAAACAAATTTTATTCAAAGTGAAATTCGTGAAGATCAACCTGAAATGACACATTTGGATGTTGCCGATATTCTTGTCTACCAAGAAGGGACAAGTGGTGATATGGATGGTGATTGAAGAATAATGTGTAGTTTTGTTTCATGGCATTTATTATGTTTTTATGTCATATTTGTTTCATGAGAAATGATTTCGTCATATTTGTTTTATTTATTTATTGAAAAGAAATATGGATATTCGCAAAAGAAATAAGAAAGATATATTTCTTGCGGACAATGCAATAACACATAGCATTTTTAATAATGAAAAATATTCTGCTTACTTATCAATTAGAGAAGCAAATGTTAATATAATAACAGGTAATGCAAAAATGATTGAAGGCTCTGTAAGAGCGAATATAATATTACAATAAGGGACAATAACTACACATGTGACCATCTAGTTGACGCGTCAATTAAAACCATAAAATATCTAAATGGTCCACATGGTGTTGGATGAATTAGTCCATATATATCCTCTTGAATTCTTTCTAAGAAACTAGGACTTTCATACCCAACTTTATTCAATGATGGACTGGAAATTAATTTTCCTTGAGAGCATGCAACACAAGACAATTCATTATCTTGAAAAATCTTCTGGTTTTGTCAAGGAATGACCACTTGAAGTTTCATTTATTCTACATACCATAATTGATTCGGGATGGCCCAACCGGTCATGCCAAACTATGAAGGTATTATCATACCTTTTTTATTTTCAATAGCATGAATCATTGTAATATTTGTATAGTACAATCCGGAGGGCAATACAGGTAATTTTTTCAAAAAAAACTTTTCTTATCCGATATCATTTTTGTAATGTTGAGATAATTTTTATTACCATCATTAGTTGTTTCAATAGGATATCCGTTAGACCGAATATCCTTAAAACTTAATAAATTTCTTGGTGATTTTAATGAAAATAATGAGATCTCAATAAATTATGTCATGACAGGAATAAGATGGAACCGAAATAAGATAGACGTCGACAATAATTTTTCATATCATGTTCCGCGCGAGATTATAAAGAAAATGAGGATCTTGAATCTAAATCTATTGAGAAATGTATGAATAGAAAATATTGGCCAAAATGGAAAGATAAAATAAATAAAGAGCTTAATTCTCTTACTCAACGAAAAGTTTTTGGACCTGTAGTCCGTACACAAAACAGAGTAAGAACAGTGGGACACGAATGAGTATTTGTGTGCAAAAGAAACGAGAAAAAAATGAAGTTTTGAGATATAAAGTAATACTTGTTGCACAAGGTTTTACCCAAAGGCCCGAAATTGATTATGAAGAAACGTATTCTCCGGTAGTTGATGCAATTACATTCAGTTATTTTATAAGTTTAACAACATATGCAAAACTGGAGATGTGTCTAATGGATGTATTTACCGACTATTTATATGTTTCACTTGAAAATGATATTTATATGAAAATCCTAGAAGGGTTTAAGGTGCCAGAAGCACAAACTTCTAATTCTCGTGAAGTATATTTGGTAAAATTAAACAAATTTTTGTATAGATTGAAACAATCTGGCCCTATGTGCTTCAATTGTTTTAGTACATTTCTGTTGAAAGAGTGCTATAAAAATGATCGATTAAACCCATGTGCATTCATAAAAAGATCCAGATAAGAATTTATCATAATTGATGTTATTGTAGGTGATTTGAACAAAATTGAAACTCCTAGAGAATTGGAAAAGGTCACTTCTTGTTTGAAAGAAATTTTTTGAAATGAATGATCTTGGTAAGATGAAATTCTATTTGGGTCTTCAAATTAAGCACACAAAAATGGAGTTTTTGTACATTAATATCTAGAAAAGGTGCTAAAAAGGTTTTATATGAATAACTCACATCCATGAGTAACCCGAAGGTGGTAAGACACTTAGATGCCAAAAGGACCAATTTCAGCATCATAAAAAAACATGAAAATCTTCTTGTTCCCGAAGAACTATATCTTAGTGCTATTGGTGCACTAATATATCTTACTATTAATACAAG